CTGCAAAACCCCCCGTTCATTTGACTCAGGTGTGAATGCCAGGGGGGGTGCTTTCAGAGGTGAGGATCGTCTGGGTTCAGAGCCGTCTGCCCCTCAGGGACCTGTGCACCAGGAGGAGTGCATCCTGAACCCTAGCCATGGGGACTCCACGGGGCTGTGTTCCCAGCCCATCTGGAAGCCTCCCTTCCTGTCTGTGGGATGGCTTCCTTTTGGGGACAGTTAACAGAAAGCCGCTATTGAGTGACACAGGCCCCCTCCCTGCCAGGACCGCTAGACAACCATGGCGTTAGGCTCATTAAAATGTGATTGTCTTCAGAATTGATTTCTTGACAGCATGCTCTCTGTGTCCCATTCTTGTGGAGGCTTTGATTATGCCTGTCTGCTGTCAACTTTTATTACCTGAATTATTTGAATTTTGATTATCCAGGGAAAGTCCCACTCCTAAGTTGGTTTCCCCTCAATGTCTCTTCTAGAGTGGCTGCATCACAGAGAATGTAAACCCATTTCCCTGAGCGGAGCCGGTACCCTGAGCCCAGCTCAGATATGTGTACTTCCCGGCTTTGCTGGGAACAGAGCACAGGTGAAATTGCTGAGACCAGAGTTTCACTCAGATTTTAGGGGCTCCCAAGCCCTCCGGGAACCTGACCTAGAGGTGGAAATTGTGGGACCAAAATAGAACTATAGACTTCTCGAATCATGCACTCCTGAGACAGACTAGAGGTCGCACACTCGGTGTTTCAGTCAATTTCGGAGCTTCTGCAGATGTTCTTGAAAGTGGCAGTGGTGGGTCAGGGTTCCGACTTCTTGCTGACACACCCAAGTGGAGAGTGATGTTTCCTGTGCTGGCCTCACACCCCAATTCACCACCTTTTGTTTTTCCCCGCTGACGACTCTTCTGGGTGCTGCTTTTTTTTTACCCCCCTCACTCGCTAAGAGATTTCACAGCCACTCCCTGCTTCTGTAAAAAGCAGGTCCCATTCACATCGTAGACCCAGGCCCGCTCTCCCCCCTACACCGAACACCCCAGTCCTTCATCTGCCCTTGGTTTCTGCCCTAGACCCACCACTCTCCTGGGGCCGCCTTCCTTAATTTCCGTTTCTACCCTAACTCTAGCATCTGATGTGATTTTCAGGGACATTTTCACCAAGTTGTTGGGCCTGCGTTCTGTCTCTCTCAGTTTGTCAGAGTGACGAGCGTCACAGGAATGACGGGGAACCACGGAGCCCCTGACAGGCAGGTGCCAGGCCCTCCTCCCAGGCGGCAGGTGGTGCTGGTCCTGCAGGCGCCTCCCTCGGCAAAACGACTCCACAGGACATGTGGGAGGGCTCCTGTCCCCTGGGAGCCCTGTAGTGTGGGGTGGGGGCGGCCCCACCGTCCTCCTTCCTGGTCTGGGAGCAGCTATGTGGCAAGCCACAGCAGAGAGTGCCACATGGTCTAGGTGTGCCCTGGCAACGGCAGAACCCATGCTTGCCGTTTTCTCCTCCTTGTTTCTAAGCTAATTGCTGAGGGCCCTTGCGACACTTTTTAATATGTTAGGAACCTTTGAACAGCTGGCAGCTATCAGATAAAATAATGGAAGTGGTGGGAAGGTGCATTCTTTGGATAAGCTGGTTGCTTTACGTCGTGCCCGGCCCAGTGGGAGCTCAGTGCCAGGCCCCAGGAGGGAATGTGACCTGTCTTCATCAGAGGCAGCACAACACGGAGTCTAAGAGCACAGGCCACAGAGGTCTGAGCCCCAGCTCTACTGCTCTCTTGCTGTGCGACCTCAGCGTGTCCTCATCCGTGAAAGACGATTCCGCTGGTTCCTTGGCTGATAGTTGGTGTTGGGATTAAAGGAGTTAATGCAGAGAATGCACTTAGGACAGTGCTGGCACCCATTACTGTTGCTGGTGAGGCCATTATGAACGCCACCCACAGCAGCCGCAGCCACGTGCAGCCCCCCGCAGGGCTGGCTGCTCATCTTCAGGTAGCAGGTCTTCAGGCAATAAAGCCGGGGTCCCCGTAGCCGCCGGGTCACCCCCGGCCACACAACCAGCTGTTCCACAACGTGTGCTCCGTGGCCTTTTTCTTCCCTGACTCTGCCACCAGGCAGCTGTGTCTGTCCAGTTCCGCTCTACTTCTAAATATAGTCCAGCCGCATTCTGCCCTATCGTCGGGTTCCCAGGGCATGTGGCTTAGAACAGGAATGGCAGTTGAGAAGTCAGCCTTCATCCCATTCCAACAGGACAGCCTTCCAGCATTTGTCATCTCTGAAGGTAGAACGTACAAGTCAGCTTCGGGGCACCTGGCTTGCAGGCTCCAATGCAGGGGGAATCGGATTCTTCCCAGAGCCTCAGGGAAGGCAGGTGACCCCTCTGCCTTGTCTCACCCCAGCGACGACACAGTGATCAGCCGACAGACCCGCTGGCAGCAGAGGTTTCCTGTCAACGTCTGAGAGGCTGGCCTGGCATTGGCTCTGGGTGTAATCGAATGCTTTGGGAAATCTGATTAAAATGTGAAAAGGATGCTCTACGGTCTCAGAGCTGTGAAGTGTGTCTGGTATTATAGAGAAGACAGGCTGGTGTCCATGCTGCTTTGGCTCGCTCTGAGGGAACAGTCAGAGCTGCAGCTGACCGGGAGACTTGGCCGCTGTAGCTGAAGTCTCAGCTCTATCTGATGTGTGGAAGATTAGTGCTGGCTGGTTTCCTCTGAGAAGGGTCCCCTAATGCAGTGGCCTTTCTGCATTGCCCGTAATACAGTTTTCACATAGGAGAATGACTGGTCCACAGTGTCCTGAGAAAACTCGATAGCTACCCTGCCCTGTCCACCAGGGACTTCAGAGATTTGTGCCAAGCTTATTAGCATTCACCAATCTCAGAAAAACGAAGAAGGCCTTACCTAGAATGCTGTGTGTTTTTTTTTTCCTGAGAAGCGGGCTTCGGATCTAAAGAGCCAGAGCAGGCAGCCCACACGTGACGTTCCATCGATCCGTCATCTCTGGGTGGCAGCAGCTCAGCCTCCCCCAGCCCCGCCGCCGACAGCTCACCCCGTCACAATCACAGCCTCGCCCGCCCGCCGCACGTTGCGTACTGAAACCACGGAGCCCCCAGTGAAGTACAGCGCCAGCCCGGAGAGGCTTCATCACAGCACTGACATGAGAAGACAAACCGAAGTCTGACTGGCCGTGTTATCCATCCAATACAAAAACCACCCAAGGGTAGAGGAATAGATATTCATCACGTCTCGGCAACTCAGCCAGGCCTGGGAGTTCAAGTGCAGTATTTCTAGGTGGATTTAGAAAGCCTTTCCTTGGCCAGGCGGAGTCCTCCCCCTGACAGCTCTTTTCACCAGCGGGCCAGCCTGGCTGGGTTAGAGCAAAGGGAGCTCTGCTCGTCTGATTTGGGCCGGATCGTGGTTTTTCCTACCTCCCCGGTGGTTTGTGTGCCATTGTGGAAGTCTGAGTACTTTTCCCTAAGTTAAGCAGAACTTTGTCTTTGTGCCGCCTGGATTTGCCTTTATCTGTAGACAAGCTTTGGCTGCTGTGGTGGCCTTTGCCCTGGTTTAGCATGAACAGAATGATGGCATCGGCTTGAAGAGGTTCAGGAGATGACGAGATCGTTCAGCAGGCTTGTCACTGGAGGCTGCGTCTGTTATCGGGGGCACGTAGGTTTTTTTTTTAATTATGGACTGTCTCCTTCAGCAGCTGCGTGCCTGTGTGTGTGTTACAGCCTCTGCAGCCGTGCAGCTTTGACAGCCCTTTGTCAGTAGGTCTTCTTCCCCATATTGTAACTTTCCTGAAAGATCTCTTGGTTAATGAAGGGTCTCTGGAAGTGGTGAGGGTGAGAGCCTTACCTGCAGTAAAAAGTGAAAAAGGAATATTTCAAGGAAAGTCAACTTGATTTGAATGTCAGCAGGTAGGGCAAATCTGCTGCTTAGAACGTGGTCCCTCTGCATTTGGAAACTCCAGCCTCCCCTACCTGCTGGAACATGTTTTTATTTTCCTTATTGAATAACAGAGGGTGGGCTTAGCTGAATTTCTCGGTTCTGCCAAATCCATGAGAGCTGGTGGTTAGCCACTGTGTGTAAACTGTTGGGTGCCATGGGTTTCCTCTTACGCAGAATTGTGGCAATTCTCATATTTAAGGGTGAACATATGATAAAGGGTGAGCGTTCCCGTGTGATTTTTTTTAAAGTCCACGTAGAGATGGGAGAGTCCCTCCACCCAGACTAACCAGGCAGCTGCAGTGACGCAGCACTGACGAAGCTCTAGTCACAGAATGGGGCCCGCGGCCCCTGACTCTTGGAGACGGCGGTCCATAGAGCAGGAACGGTAGAGGCGTCTTCAGACACCTCTCCTTGGTGAGCCAACCCAGCTGACGGTTTTCATGGAGCAAGATGAGGCTCAGGGTCAGCTCAGCGGCCTGGCGGCTCCCTCCTCCGGTTAGTGGTCTCAATAGATCACCTGTCTATGTTCTTCCTCGTTTTGGAAACATGTGAAAACCACTTCTGTCACCTCTGGGGCTGATGTGAAGATGGATACAGTTATGATCTACTTTTGGTTTTGCAGAAGTAGAATGTTCTGTTTGTTGTTTCTTGATTTGCTCCTTTCCTGCCTTCTTATTCTAGCGATCGCCAGGACCTGCAGCAGAAGACAGGCCTACAGAGAGGCCGGGCAGTAAACTCGGCCGGGCGTGCAGCTCGGGAGTAACGGTTGTAGGGGACGCAGGGCTGACACTGAGCTTGGAGGGTGGCGAGTTCCACCGTCCTCGGGCCCACAAAGTCCAGGCTCTGCAGCGTGTTCATTCCTCTGACAAAACGCTCTGTAAATGTACGGCGACAGCGTGAAGTAGGATTCTTGCTGTTTACTGAAAGTGATCGGAATTTTCTGGTGACAGCTCTGTGTTTGGGGAAGTACCAGTCGACGTCTCAGAGGAGGCAGAGGGTGACAGTTTCATATTTGCCTTCAGAATGCTGATCTTTCAGTTTTTAGAAGTTTTATATAATTTTTTTTTCCTTTACAGAATGAAGTTGGCCTACTGGAGTTCTTCCAAAATGTGATGAAAGAAACTAGGGCAGAGCCAAAAAAAGTGACTAGTTGGGTCCTCAACACTTTTCTGGGTTTTTTAAAGCAGCAGAACCTTGCTGTTAGTGAGAGGTGAGTGGGGACGGCGTGGGTGGGAGGGTGGGTCTGGGGGCTGGTCTCCCTTTGTGATGAACTCTGTCCAGAAGCACTTGAGATAGCGCAGGGCTGCTGTCCTCAGGATCCCCTGACAAGACACAGATGTCCCCTGTGAATCCCAAATCCTAAAGCTGTCCGCCATCGCATCTGAAAGGTCATTTATTCAAACCTCTGACCCTCCATGCTGTCCTTTATTCCATGCTGGGCTGAGGGCCTGAAGGCCTGAAGGTGTGTAAGGCAGGGAGTGGACAAGCGGGTGCGGGATACAAACCCGGAAGAAGCAGAAAGGCGCCTCAGGCATTCGGCTGGCGCTGTTGGGCCGCAGGTGCGCACAGGCTGCTGCGAATGCGCAGAAAGGGGGGCTGCACCGAGGCGGGGGGTCAGCCAGGCTCTCCCTGAGAAGGGAGAGCGAGGTTCCTCAGAAGCCGAGCCCTGAGGGACTAGTGGGAGTTGCCGAGGGCTGGGAGAGGCAGGGCGTCCAGAGCAGGGACGCGATCGTCAGTCGTGGACCTTGACGCTCGGAGACCAGCAGGCGTGGGAGGCTCAGAAGACCCAGAAGCTCCGGGGGCCTCAGGAGGGAGGGAGGGAACTTCAGAGATGGGAGAGGGCCACCTGGTGGCTTCACCTGCCTTTGTTAGCAGCCCTCGAATACCTGAGAGCACAGCTCACTTGAGTTTCCCTCTAGGGGGTGGGATGGAAGATGGACCAGAGGTGGGAAGCCTGGTTGGGCCCCTCTTACAGGAGCACCCATGAGAAACGCCCTGTGCCCAAGTGTGGTGGCATCACTGAGTGAGGTGACCAAGGTAAGGGCAGTGATTTCACACCTGCATGACTCCAGGTCCCAGGCATGGGCTGTGGAGCAAGATGGGGGCAGCGCCTTTCAGCATGGCTGGGGGTGAGGGAAGGGGACGGGGTGTGGAGGACACTGTGTTCCTTTTGGACACCCTGGGTTTGAGCTGCCTGTGGGACAGACGTCCCCCTCATGGGGTGACCCATGGCAGCTGATGAGAGACATCTGTCTCGGAGGTGTAAATCCAAGAGTGGGTTAGTTTAGACTCTGCCCCATGCCAAGTTCTGTGCCGAATATGGGGAAACCAGTCCCAAAGACAGATGTGGTCCCTGCTCTTGGAGCTGCCAGTCTAGAGGCTGGTGACTGTGAAGCAGTGAGCCGAGTTCCCTGAGAAGGGGCGGGAGCAGCTGAGCTGCGCCCTGTGTGAAGGGTGAGTGGGGCCAGGCAGGCCACGGGGGTCCGAGCGCTCCAGGCACAGGGACCAGCGCGCGTCAGAGTCTTGGGGGTGAAGGCAGCGCACAGCCCATGTATGTGGATCATGGACTCGGCGGCAAGTAGATGGTGCAAGAAGCCATGGGAGCAGATGAGAGCAGTCGGGGAGGAAACAGTGCGACCGGCAGCTGCGGAAGGGGCCCGAGACACCCTTGGACTTTAACCACCGAGTGTGGGCAGAGGAAGGGGAGAACCAGGAGCGTGGGGGTCACAGAAGCCAGAGAAAAGGGAAGTGTCGAGAAGGACGGAATGAGCCGCAGGTTCTAGTGTGGTGGGGGACACAGTGGATGGTCCCAGCGGGAGGCAGAGTGGTTTGAGCTTTTGCAGGAGAGGTCAATCTTAGCTTTAAATAAGTTTTTCCACTTTGTCGGCTGTGATGTCACTTGAGTCACTGAATCTCAGTCTCGGCGGACACCTGAGATGCCTTCTGGTTGGGCTCTGGCCTTTAGCAGAGGAGGAGATCCAGGCCCTGGGGGTGAGGTGCCCACCTGCTCAGGCTGGAAGCCAGTCTCCTGACTTTTCAGATCAGTTTCTTCCTATGTTGATCTGTGAAGTTAGAGGTTTGCTTAACAACCGTTTGGGGAGCTTCTAGAGGAGCTGGGGTTGAACTTGGAGTTGAATTCGAGCCCCCAGTATTTATCCAAACAGTTCATAAGCACTAGTGTTTTAAGAACCCAAGGGCAAACAAACGCTCAATAAAAGTGTACTTGGTTGTTCCAAGTCAAGTAAGGAGGAGGCTGAGCAATGGTTCTTACAGTTTTTGTGGAGCAGGAACTGAGGATCCAGAACAAAGCTGTGGCAGATCCCCCGGCTCCACAGCTCAGAGCAGCGCTGGCTGGGCTGCGTGTGTCCACCAGCCTCACCGGGGAGGGCACGTAGCCAGAGAGCGGCCTCGGCGCCGGGGCTCACGTTTCCAAAGCAGAGAACAGCAGTAGCCACGAAGCTAGCAGTGTTCCCGTGATGACACCAGGCTGGGAGCCCTCCAGAGATCACGTCGGCAGGAACTGATTTTGCAAATGAGCATTCATCTTTGGAAACTGCCCGAAAGAATGATGTTTAAAGAGTCCGACCCGGAAAGCTCTAGTTGAACTTGGCACTTTGATTGTTTCAAGTGTATTGCTTTGGAAGTTGGCCTTTGATTAATAACGCATAAATAACTATTCATAACAGGTTTGATTTACTTAAGAAAGTGGAAATAACAGATTTCCCGAGCAGGCATTTCCTGGTAAGATCAGGCAAGGGCAGCTGTCCAGTTGTGCACTCCAGCTGTTTACCCAGACCTGCAGGGTAGCCGTGGCAACTGAGGTGCTAGGAAACCAGGGGAGGCTTTTCAGCCGAGAAGGCACTGGTGCTGACAGGAGGGTCAGTCCAGCGTGTGAGGGATGGGGCAGCATCCAGGAAGGGGCGCGGGAGGCAGGGGCCGGGAGCCTGTCAGAAGTCCCTGCCGTAAGCCTCTTTGTATCCAGCCTGTGAGCTGAGGATGGTTATTACCTCTCATATGAGTCAAAACAAAGACCATGTGACTGAGACCAGGTGAGTCCCACAGAGCCTTAAATACTTACTCTTGGGCGCCTTCCAGAAGTTTGCCAACCCCAGGCTTAGAGCCTGTTGGGGCCGGGCCCTCTGTGGGGCAGCTGACCGGTGGGGGGGGGGGGCAGGCCCTGACCGGTGGGGGGGGCAGCCTGGGGGACAGGGGTGCTTTTCTTCTCTGTCAGACTGAGGCAGAGCCCTGGGCCCCTCCTTGTGAGCAGGAGGACACGGAAGAGGGCAGTCAGGGAGGAGGAAGGGAACCCGAGGCCCAGGAGGAGGGATTTTCACATATGTTTAGTCTGCCCAGGAGTCAGGGTGCGGCAGGCTGGGGACGCTGTGACGTTTGGCCATAAGTGAGGGGAGGCGAGTTTTTAAGAGAACAGCTTCCGTGGAGGGATAGGGTTGGAGTCCAAGCGACGTGTGCTTGCGAAGGCAGATGGCAGCCACTGATGCTCTCTGTTGGTAAAAATAAGGTAAGAAACCAGGCAGAAGTAAGTGACCGCAAGCTCACTGGAAGGCATTTTCAAGAGAGGGAAGCCCTGAGCGTTTGTGAAGGTGTGGGATTAAAGCCGCAGGAGAGAGGAAATGGGTACCTGAGTAGCAGAGAGGAGAGAGGAAAGTGGGGTGGAAAGTGATGAGGTCTGGCGCATGGGCGGAGGGGTTGTGTGAGGGAGGAGGAGGAGGGCACCCCGGAAAATTCTGAGCCTTGTCTCACTGGTGTCCTGGTGTCCTGGTGATGTGGGAGGTGAGGATCTGCTGAGAAGGGGGCGGGGGTGGGAAAGAGACTAAGACCGTTGCTTGGGTGGGGGCACCAGGTAGGGGTGTCAGGAAACTAGCGAGTTGACCAGAAGGATTACTGAGCAGCATGAGCCACCTGGATGTCCATGCCTGTCTTCCTCCGCCAGCGTCTCGTGTCCCGTGGACTTTAGGCCTCAGGTGAGCCTGGGGATTGAGACGGGCTGCGTGTTTCATGGATACCAGCATGGCTGTCGAGGTGTCAGGTGTCTGCTCCCAGAACCCAAGCTGGAGATGGAGCTGTGATCCTAAAAGGGCTCTGAGGGACTGGGGGAAGCCAGAAGGCCTGACAGACCCCACGTCCCTGCATCTGTGGATGTACCGGGCTCAGGATTGGAGACCAGCACACGGAGCCTACGGCTTCCATGTCAGGTTCTTCTGTGGTGGAGACACTCACTGTCCAGAAACCAGTATGATCTGACAGCAGCACATGCGTAGCTTAGGCCTCTCTCCCGTTATGCTCCATACCACGTGGCCTGTTTAACTATGAGGGGGCCTCTCCAGGTCAGGGTGACTGGTCCTGATCTATGTCACTGTCTTACTCAAGGTTGGCCCTGGCACGGCTGGAATGAGTTGGTGCAGGAGACCAGCCGTCCTTGTTGGGTCGGGGGAGAGAAGTCCCGAGGGGCGGGGGAGAAGTCCACGACACGGATACTGCTGCCCTACTGTGTGTCGCACACAGTGGCTACAAAAGAGTGATTGAGAAATCCCACAAGCTGCGAGGTCGGTGGAGATACTTTATAGTGAATTAAGGTCGCCGGATGAAAGGCCAAGTATTTTTAGCTACGCTGTGTTCTATTTCTGTCCCCACAGCCCTTTATCATCGTTCCTGTGGGAGCAAGGACCCTTCCTTTCGCAGGCTCGAGAAATCTAGTTCAACCCAGTGCTTAGTACAGGTTCTGCCCACGGTCTGCGCTCTAATTGGCCTTTGTGTTGACTAGGATTGTAGAACATCCAAGAAACCCGAATTTTTAAAACAACCTGGATTCTTTATTACTTGTCGGTAAGGGCGGGAGGTTGGAGAGGGGTTCCCGTTTACCCCCCAGCCCTCTGGCCTCATCCTGATGAGAGTTCATCAGGGTGGCTCACAGCCGCTCCAAATACCAACTTAGTGCCGCCAGACACTCTCCAAAGCCGGTTTCCTCTGGGAATTACCTTTTATCCACACTTGGGGATGAACAGACACTTGAAGGACGATGGGCTGCCGTCCCACGTGAGCAGCCCCGCGAGGCTTCACTGGACCTGAGTCAGAGTCCGGTCGGTCGGACCTGGTGAGCTTGCACGCGGCTGGTTTGGAATTCCGGGAAATGGGCATAAGGGGCGAAGCGGTCGTTTCCTTTTTATTGTCTGAGAGCTTACAAAGAAGTGAATAGTGAATGATGGAAGTGAGACTTAAAGAGAAGGGGTTTTCAAGTGGCATTAGGAGCATCTCCGAAGATTTCGTTTCCACAGAGCCTTCTGTGCTGTGAGTCGTTGGCAGTCTGTTTGAAGCTCACCCCCTCGTGACCTCAGATAGACAGCGTTTCATTAGCCTATTGCTGTATGTGTTTAAAAGTATCAGAACCATCTATTTTACAAGAAATAGTCTGTAATTCAGGCTTGTGTTCTCAGTAATCCTCAACATTCACCCCAGCTCTTGCCCTGAGTGTGACCTGATGACACTTTATGTGTTTGGTTGCCCTTTGGCCTTGTATATCATGAGATCTTGGCAAGTAAGTCACTTCCTAGACGTGTAGATATAATGGAGTCTGGGCCCTTCTGAATCCAGAAAGCTGCCGAGAGGCTGCAGGACAGGACCGAGTGTGGCCGCCCGTGAGGCCGGTAAGCACGTGGCTGGTACTCATTGCGTCCCTACAAGAAAAGCTCTTCCAATTGAAAAATTTATATTTGCCAGAAAACACTCAGAAAAGTGGCTTTGTTTGCTGTTTTGTTTGAAGTAATTTTTAGGCTGATCTTTTAGTTGACAATATTTAATTACTGGATTTTTTCTTTTCTTTTCTTTTCTCATCGTGGTTCATGAATTTTGCAGCCACCTCCTTTTTTTTGACTAATTAAACTGAGCAGTTGTCTGTTGCTACAACTTCTGCCAAACAGCGGTTATTGTCTGTGGTGAAATAAAGAAAAACAACACTAGTCACAGAAATGTGTTATATCCTAGAATACCAGATATATAAATAAAATAGAGCCCAGTTGGCCTTTCCTTTCATTCCTGGGCTGGGGTTTAATTATTCAAACCTACAAAGTCAAGTGCTTTGATTTTGAGTGGCACTAAATGTGGAGGCCAACAGAGTGAAATGGAAATGTTCCTTCTCTCCTTTTGGGGGCTGCCAGTCCTGTCACCCCTTCTGCCCTGGCGGAGCTGCTCAACCTGGTGGAGAGGAAGGCCATCTCTTCGTCCGCAGCTAAGCAGGTATGTGTGTCCACTGCCAGAAGCGTCTGGCACGGGTAATTTGCTTCTCATCTGCGCTAACCAGAGGGAGGAGTTATTGTTTGGCTTTGCCTGGACTGTCTCCCAAACATTTATGTGAAAGGTGGGGCCCTGCAGCTCCTGGGAGCTTCAGACTGTGCACTCTCCCCCCGTGCCCTGTCCCCAGCCCTCATCCTCCCTCTCCCATCCAGGGGCACGTTCATCTTGGCATGTGGTCGCCCCTGAAAGTCAGTCTTCCAGCCAGGAGGGTGAGGTCAGACAGCCTGCCTCGCACCTAGATAAAAATTTACACGCATGCTCAGTGTGTGAAAACTCAGAAAAAAAGCATCATCATCAAAGGCGGCCTCCCGCCTCATCTCCACCTCCACCTGACAGTCTCCGGTGGGCGCAGGATGCCCGGGATTCAGAAGACCCTGACAAGTAAGCACCCAGAAGGATGAGGAACACCAAGGCAGCTGCCTGATCTCAACTTCTGATGTCGCAGCTGTCAATGCTTCAGCCAGAAACTTAATGTTATTTTAATGGTGCCTTTTGCATTTAATATTTATACACGTCGACAGCAGTGGCAGGTTACAAAGCGAGGCTTTGGAAAAGTGGCTGCTTTGGGCTAATTACAAGGCACCATGGAGCAGCCACCCGGCTCTGTGCTGGGAAACTGGAGCCGGGAACTAATAAAGGCTTTGTTTACCCATCACCAAGTGAGGCTGGGAAGTGCGGGTCGCACCGCGCTTAGGAGAGGGTTTTGGCTGCCTGGGTGTCAGGGGAATACAAATGTTTATGACAGTGCTCAGCAGTAGCAGAAAGATTAGATGGCCTGAGGGCAGAAGGGAACTATATATACACGCATAAGAGCAGACAGATCGTAGCATTTGAAACCAAAAAGGGAAAAAACCTTCCCCCTCCCACACATCCGCCCCACCAAAGAGAACCTAGTGCGGCGAGTCTGACGGGTTCTGTGGGAAGAGACTGGAGATGCTGACAGCCGGGTTCAGATACGGATAGAGATGCTTTTGGGTTCTGTCAACTGCCAGCATGTTTAAAGCAGTGAATCCTGGCTTCTGTGAGGCAGTCAGAGAACCGACATAAAAGTCTGTTTAGCAGGGTATTAAATGTCTGTCACATGAGGCAATCTCCCTCATATGCCGTTGTCTCGGGGGGGTTGCTTTTTGATTTTTCTACCTTGTTTTCTGTTTTTAAAAAAATCACCAATTTTCTGGTGGAAAAATGCTATTTGTTTATTATAAAGAACTTAAGTAATGCAGAAAAATACAAAGATTTTCAGATACTACGACCTCAGAATAACTGCCATTAATACTGACTGAGCGTTGTCCCAGGCATCTTTCCATGAATACATTGTGTTAGAGGGACTGGTTGATGGGATAGGCAGATGGGAGGTTAGAGGAATGAAGATTTTCGAAAATAAGAGGTTTTAGTGTACTGTTTTTTAGGGGTTTTTTTTTTCATGAAGTATATGGTTCATTGGTTTTTAGGATAGTCACAAAGTTGTACAACCATCACCACTGTGTAATTCCAGAGCATCTTCATCACTCTAGGAAACAAACCCTGCATCTCCTGATTAACCCTGCATCCTAGGCAACCAGTAATCTGTTTTTGTCTATGGACTTGTCTGTTCTGGACTTTTAATTTAAATGGACTCATACAGCATGTGGCATCTTGTGTCTGGCTTCTTTCACCTGAGATTGTGTTTTCAGAGTCCATCTGTTGTAACAAGTGTCGGCACTTCCTGCCTTTTATGGCTGAAGAATACTCCACCGTGTGGACCTAACCATGTTCTGTCTGTCATTCATCAGTAATGGGCAGCTGTGTGGTTTCCCCGTTTGGGCTCTTACGAGTTATGTTGACTGTGAACATGTATGTACAGATTTTTGTTTGTGCCTGTGTTTTCAAATGTCTTGGGGATATACCTATAGGAACAGAATTTCTAGGTCATCTGGTAATTGCATTTTGAGTATTTTGAGGACCTGCCAGACTGTCTTCTAAGAGGACCCCCTCTCTGTCATTGTCACCACCCTCTTCCTGCCCTGTCTCTGGAATGAGTCTTTTCCCCCCTGCACTCTGACCCCGAAAGCCCTGGAACAGGGACAGGCCAGAAGTCTAATGCTTTCCTTTCGTACTTCTTTCCAGATGCTTTAAAAATCACTTCAGCTAGAGAAAGCGATGGGCAGTAGTAGTAGTTAAGAGGGTGTGTGAATTTAGTCACCAGGAACCAAAGGCTGAGTTTCCGCCCCACATGTCAGAGCCGGCTCCCATGGTCGAAGTGTGACCATGTTGCAGAAAAATGTGTTACAGCGCGGTGTTACAGCTCAGTTGTGACAGCAACCTCCATCCAGGCGAGAGACCAAGCAGCACTCGGAGAGTTGGAGAACTCAAGTTTATTAGGCCAGCAGGCCCAGAGCAGTTAACACTCCAAGCTCTGGACCCCGGCTGTAGGTTTACACAGGCCTTTATAGGCTGCCTGTTTT